GGTTGCCAGCAAAGGAAGGGTGTCGGGGGATGGGTGAACAGGTGAATGGGTCTAAGAGGTATAAACTTCCAGTTAGTTAATAAATAAAGCATGGGGGTGTGATCTGCAGCGCAGGGACTATAGTCAATAATATGGTGATAACTTTGTATGTAACAGTTTACCAGATTGATTGTGTTAGTCACATTACAAGGTACATAAAAATTACTATGTTGTACACCTGAAACCAATATAATATTGTATGTCAACTATACTTATTTTTAAAATTAATAAAAAATAGCCGAAACCGGTTTGGCTCAGTGGATAGAGCGTCGGCCTGCGGACTGAAAGGTCCCGGGTTCGATTCCGGTCAAGGGGCATGTGCGTTGGTTGCGGGCACATCCCCAGTAGGGGATGTGCAGGAGGCAGCTGGTCGATGTTTCTCTCTCATCGATGTTTCTAACTCTCTATCCCTCTCTCTTCCTCTCTGTAAAAAATCAATAAAATATATTTTAAAAAAATAAAATAAAATAAAATAAAATTAATAAAAAATAAATTAAATATTTACAAACGTTTTAAGAAAAAGGGAGAGAGCTAGAAATGTGGAAAATAAATTCTGAAGTTCCAATTTTTCTCTAATAGGTGTTCCAGAAGAAGAGAATAAAAGAGAGGAAATTCTTAAAGAAATGCTAAAACTACAAAATAGAACAGAAAATAATATAATACTGTGTTTCCACAAATCAGTAGTGACAATTTATAATGTTTTACCAGATGTGCCTTTAGTAATATTTTTAAAGAAATAAAACTACAAATAAAGCTGATGGTCTTTCTGACCCCAATCTCCCTTCCTCACCTTTTTCCTTAGGGCAGCAACCACCGTCATGAATTTGTATGTATCTTTCTAGGCCAATAATGTGTATTGCATAATACAGATGATGCTTTTGCATATGGCTTTAAATCTTACTTAAGTAATAATATACCGAACATAGGGCTCTGCAACTCACTCTTTTTACTAGCAGTGTAAGTTTTATCTCTCTCTGCATTTATGGAGAGAGTACCAGTTAATTTCTCGGGACTACTGTAAAATATTTCATTGTATTATCAACTATGCCACATTTTAGATTATACTTTTATTTATAAATGGACTTTTTACCATCATGAAACAATGTACTAATATGAGCCCTATGCACACGGGTGACGGTTTATCCAAGTGTGTATCCAGAAGTAGAATTGCAGGAAGATAGGATATGCACATTTCCAATTTTACTAGGTTCTGTGAAACTGCTCTTCCGTTTACATTCCAACAAGCAGTATATGCCTGTCTCCACTTTCCCTCAACCACACCAAGATGTGATATTTTCAGACTTTTTAATTTTGCCAGTCTGATGGGTGCAAAATTGTCCCTCATTACAATTTTTAGTTGCATGGTCCTTATGTCTAGTAAGTTTGACCATCCTTTAGTCTATTGGCCACTTGGCATTCCTTTTCTGTAAATTGTCTCTCTGAATCCTTTTTATTTTAAGTGCTATGAAATTTACATATGACATTATATTAGTTTCAGGTGTATAGCATAGTGATCCAATATATGGCAATAAGTCTAGTTAACATCCATCACCACACATAGTTACAAATTGTTTTTTCTTGTATTGGGAACTCTTAAGATCTACTCTCTTAGCAACTTTCAAATATACAAAAAAGTATTATTAACTAAGGTCACCATACTGTATATTATATCCTCATGACTTAGTTATTTTATAACTGGAAGTGATACCTTTTGACCCCCTTCATCCATTTCGCCCACCCCCTGAATTCTTTCTCAATTGTATTTATAGCGTCTTTTTTTCATACAAAAGCTTTTTATTTTTTTTAATCCTCATTGGAGGATATGTTTATTGATTTTTAGAGAGATGAAGGGAGAGAGAGATAGAGGGAGAGAGAGAGAGAAAGAGAGAGAGAGAGAGAGAGAGAGAGAGAGAGAGAGAGAGAGAGAGAAGTTGCCTCCCGACCCAGGAACTAACCTGCAGCCTGGGTATGTGCCCCGGCAGGGAATTAAACCTGCAACCTATCGGTGTTGGGGACGACGCTCCAACCAACTGAGCCACACTGGCCAGGGCAGTTTTTAATTTTTTTTTTATATTGTCAGATTTAACAATCTGATGGAAGATATATTTTTTAAAGAATGGATGGCCTCAAAATTGAGAGGATACATTGAGTGCTCAACTGGATGAATATAGCAAATGCCCATTTAGACACAGTGCAGTGAAACTTCAGAATATGATTGTCTGAGGGGTTTAGGGTTTGGGGGGTGGGGCTGGTTGTTTGTGCTAGCTTTTGCAATGAGACCAGAAAGGGGGCAGGTGGGGTGGGGGGCGCTCTCTGGGTCCTGGGAGAAACTGGCAAGGAACTGAGACGCATTCACCATCTCAATCTGTCAGTTGTGACTGCTTCACAAATCACCAGGGACCTTGGGGCATTCCTGCAAACAGAATTCTGGAGACTCATTAGGAAGCATGGGTGGAAGACGTTTGTTGTTACTGTTAAACAATATCTAACAGTTTAGAGTTCACCAAGCATTGTTTACAAATGAGGATGAACCATCCGAACTTGGCATTTTTGTGGAGTAAAAAACGATTGAATGTTGTTTGTGTGGTTTTTTTTAAAGGGAGGATGATGATTTTTATTTTTTTAATATATTTTATTGATTTTTCACAGAGAGGAAGAGAGAGGGATAGAGAGTTAGAAACATCAATCAGCTGCCTCCTGCACACTCCCTACTGGGGATGTGCCCGCAACCAAGGTACATGCCCTTGACCGGAATCAAACCTGGGACCCTTAAGTCTGCAGGCTGACGCTCTATCCACTGAGCCAAACCGGTTAGGGCAACGATTGAATGTTTGTTGGCTATGTCTTAGGGTTCAACCTAATCCAAGATTTCATCTCATCCTGTGAGATACACATTATTATCATGAACGTCTTCTACAGAGGAGCAACCAGTGTGGCAGGGAGCTTAAATCTGCCGATGGGGCCTTATGACGGCTAAATGGCAGCGGTTAGTTCGCCTGCTCCAACTTCCTATCCCCATCTGAGAAATAGGGAAAACACTTCATGCTCTTCTCTTCCTGAGGAAGACTGTCTGTCACGGAGTCATCTGTCTTCTAGGGAGTTTAGGCTCAAGATCATCCGTGCCAAGAAATGGCTTTTGCCAAGATAACTTGGCCTGGACATTGGGACAGACAACATGCTTCAAGCATAACATATGAGCTGGAGAAAAGTATGTCAGGGCAGGAGCAGACTGTAAGCCAGAGAGGATCAGGTGAGCGGGGAGAGAGATTTCTGTGTGTCCCAGCTGCTAACGGCTATGCTCAGAGCCCGAAGTAGCTGGCGTGCTATTTCCTTGCACCAACAGTATTCCAGGAAGGAAACCTCCCCAGCCTGGATGACAACTCCAGCCGGCCTGAGAATTTTCTGCTCATTCTTAGAATAGTGTCTGTGGTCACTTTGGTTGCAAACCCAGTCTCCGTTCAGAAATTAGAATGCTGATGCCAGGTATTCATCAACAGTCTGAACTTTTTACCATAAATCCCACTCTTCCCCCCACCTGCCCAGCTGGAAGCCCACAGTGGGGACAGTGTAGAGGGGCTGGCTTCTTCTCTCTTTTTCCACTCGGCCTCCCCAGCCAGTTACCATGGCTACGACGACTGCTGCTCTGTGGGAGCAGTCCGGAAAGGGGCAGCAACAGCTGTTAAGTTGACTTCAGGCTTTCTTGCCAGGCAGATGTTAAATTCTGCCTCTTTCTCGCCAAGTGCTTTAATGCCCTCTCCAAGGGTTCCCCACTCAGGCTCTTTCTCCCAAAGTCCTCTCTAACCTGTGGATGGATCTCAAGTCCAACCTCATTTGGGGTGGTCACCTGAGACCCCATCCTCAGCCCCTGGGCATTCAGCTCCAGCCTTTAGCTATTGGGGAGCCCCACAGAGGAACGAAGACATGGAGTCCCTGCAGGACCTCTCTACTGTGAGGCCCACATCTGTCCAGAGGAAACGCGCATGCTTCTTATCCCCCCTACCCCCCCCCAAAAAAAAAAAAAAAAACTCTGCAAGTGCAGGCTGGTCCCAGCATAGTGGCAGCAGCCCAACCAAAGCAGCTTGTGGGCCCTCCTCTCACTTTCCAAATTTCCCAGGTGGGACCAGAGCCCAGGCCAAAACGCCCAGCTGGAGGGGGTCACACAGGCTGCTCTCGGAGAAGCCCTGTCCCCCAGACACAGGACCTCAGGAGGCTGGAGGTAGGGGAACAGGAACTCACTTGTCCCCAAGATGGGACTCACAGCACAGCTTTCTTCAAGCAAATTTGCCCTCACAAAATCCTCCTCCTGTCTCCTCTGCTTTTCCTTTTACAGAGTCTCAAAGTGGACAAAGGGGTTTGAAAAGTCTTGGGACAAATTTGGACATTTCCATAGGTGACTTGGTACCTCCATTTGGATTTTCGCATCTATGATACATATTGGTGTCTGGTGGGAATTTTAGTTTTAAGGCCCTGTTATACTTACATGCATTGACCATTTTTATGGTCATAAGTACAGATAGCATGATTGCTCATTTTAAAGATGAGGAAAACATACCTCTGGGAGCTCAAAGAGGTAAGGCCAAGGTCACCCAGCCAGTCAGTGATGGAGCTGGAATTCCAACCGGGTGTGTCCCGCGACATCTGGGAGGTGTGTGCGCCCTGGCCTTGTACCCAAGGAAAGCATTTGGAGACACAGAGGGAAGTGCTTCCTTCGTTTAGGGCTCAGGCCCCAAGTCACAGCAAGAGGCTCCAGGCCACTAGAGAGCTGATGTAAGACGGCTCCTGAGGCTTGCTCCTGCCCACACCCCCACAGGACATCTTCTGGGACCTAGTTTCAGAGAGAGGACTGGTAGGACTCGGGTTGTGGGAGAGACCAATAAATAATTCTACTGATCTGGCAGCGACCCCATCTCAGTGAGACTTTCGACTGGAAGGAGGATGCCAGGAGGGCTGACTCACCTAGTCTAACATCCAAGCCAAACACTGAGGAAAGGGCTCAGCTCAGCCAAGAAGACTGTAACTGCAGGAGGACGGGGAGTCTGTGCTGGGATCCCAGCCATGCCTTTGCCTCGATGTTTTCTCAGAGTGTTTGGCCTCTTTTTCTCCATGAATTTTGTGTGCTTGGGAACAAGGCATGCCAGGGCTTCAGCTGGTGGTGCAGGAACACCACACAAAGGTGTTGAGAGGGGAGATATGGAAGAACTGACTTAGGGTCCTTACGGGAGGGGGCGAACACGGCAGTGGCCAGCTCCCAAAATGAGCTTAGTTTGCTCTTCAATGAAGTCCAGTCTGGTGGGTGTTTCCAACACAGGAAGTTAGTTAATAAGCCATGGTCCTTCCACAAAGAGAGGCCACTGAAGAGCACGACATAGCACACTTAATTATACGGAAAGATTATCAAGGGAAGAATGTGGAGAGCAGGATCCTGTGGGTCCTGGGATCACACCCTTCAATTAAGTTCCTTCTTATCCTCAGGCTGAACCAAAGGTGTAAAGTCAGGACAGGGCCCAGCCCCTTCCACTTCCTAAGGTCCGAACACCTCACCTCCATCTCTCCCACATCCTTTCTCGGGGATCTGTCGGCTGGTCTTCTACACCCTTCAAATACAGAGTTATCATTCCCCACAGCATTAGTCCCAGACAACTGGGCTCACTCTGATGAATGCTCCCTTTGGTGAGGAAGCCTTGCCCCATCCTACCCCCAGTTTCTGATGGGGCTACATCCCTGAGGCCAGAATGTGTTTTGGGCACTTCCTCAGTGAAGAAGAGAAACCGGCGCGAACACAGGCGCACGCACGCTCTTGTTTACCGTAATCTAGGACAATCTACCTTAACACAAACACACATATAAATATTGTTTGGGTTTTGTTTTTACACACAATCGGCTCATAATAGGTTAGTCTGCCACGAGGATTGAGATAAATTCATGCTTAGGACTGAAACATTTCTCCAAGGATACGGTCTGCAGAGATGCACCCCTGATGAGATGATCTTTCAATACGTTGGCGGGGCAGCCAGGTCTCGGCGCCTCAGACCTCTGCACGCCAGAAGAGGCTACAGGACTCCTAACGAAAGACCTGGAGGCAGATTGCTCAAGACAAGGAAGAGAGGTCAGACAGCTATCTCCTCAACACTGTTGGTCGCTCCAAAATTACAGGGTTTGGATTTTGGATTCTGTTGGGTTTATGTTGACTCTTATTCTCTCCATTAGAAGGAGGGCTGACTTCCTTGTTACGTATTTATGCCAGTATATGTATGCTTAGAGCAAATTCTGGAAGTAAATACAACAAAATGTTTAAAGTAGTTATGGAAATGACTTGAAATTAAAATATTCTTTTTTTATTGTTACCTGTGTTTTCCTTCTCTATTTTGCCAAAGAAATTGAAGCCATTGGCTTGTGCTGACTGAAATTCCTGTTGCCTTCTCTACACCACTCCCCTAAGTTCTCATCCATCTCTGTGACCACATGCATCCTTCCCTCCTTCCCTCCAAAATCAGAGACTGAGGCAAACTCTCCTTCCATGTCCTTATTATCTCTCTCTGTGTTCTAACTGTACCTAACGTGTAAAACTGACCTATTCATGCATTACAGAGTTGCTGTCAGCAGTCATACTTCTGATAAATAAAAAGAGCACAGTAATGAAGAAGATAATGTTTTGTCTCTCCGTACCTCAGTTTCCTCATCTATAACAGTGATGGCGAACCTGTGACACGCGTGTCAGAGGTGACACGCGAACTCATTTTTTTGGTTGATTTTTCTTTGTTAAATGGCATTTAAATATATAAAATAAATATCAAAAATATAAGTCTTTGTTTTACTATGGTTGCAAATATCAAAAAATTTCTATATGTGACACGGCACCAGAGTTAAGTTAGGGTTTTTCAAAATGCTGACACGCCGAGCTCAGAAGGTTCGCCATCACTGATCTATAAAATGGGGTGATTATAGTACCTACCTCATAGGACTGTTGTAAAGATTAAATGAGTTAATTTTATGTTAAGGACTTAGAAGAGCACCTGATATACAGTAGGTGTCTATAAGTGTTTGTTAGTGTTAATATTACTGTACTAATTAGTGTTGCTAGTATTAATATTAGTGCACTAGAGGCCCAGTGAGTGGAATTCATGCATGGGGGGGGTGGGTGTCCCTCAGCCCAGCCTGCACCCTCTCCAATCTAGGACCGGGGCAGGAGGCGACCCAGTGATCAGGGGAAGACGATGCCCCCATCACACCTAGGCCAGCTTTGGTTACCTGCACCTCAGGCAGCCCTGGGCAGCTGGGCAGCCAACATCTGAGGCTTACCTGTGTCTTGGGCCAGCCCTGGGCAGCTGGGGGGCTGAGGGGACTGGGCACCACCATCTTGTGGCTGTGGGCACTGCCATCTTTGAGGGAGAGGCAGTCAATTAGCATATTCCCTCCTTATTGGCTGTGGGCGCTGCCATCTTTGTGATGGTGTGAGAGTCAATTAGCATATTTCTGCTTTATTAGATAGGATTTTTTTTTAATCCCCACCAGAGCATACTTTTCCATTGATTTTTAGAAAGAGTAGAAGGAGGGGGAGAGACAGAGAGAGAGTAATATCAATATGAGAGAGATACATCGGTTGCCATGGACCTGACCAGGGCCAAGGATTAAGCCTACAACCAAGGTATATGCCCTTGACTGGCATCGAACCCGAGACCCTTCAGTCTGCAGGCTAGCACTGTAACCACTGAGCAAAACTGGCTAGAACCCCCCCTCCTATATTTTAAACCTCTCTCTCTCTTCAGATTCCTTCCCTTAATTTATTTAGAGTCAACAATCTTCAACCCCTAACTCCACCCTTGATTTTACTAACCTTTCTTTCTCCCCCCTTCAAGTCCAGACGTCTGAAAGAAGTGGGTTTTGAGGTTCACTTTCCACATTTACTCACATTCAGCACTTTGTCGCTCATGATATAATACAATCTGCTGTCCCTCTCACATCTCCAGTGAAACTCCTCCAGCAAAGACCACAAATGGTCTGCTTTTACCAAATTCAAAGACACTGTTTTGTTCTTATCTTTCTGGACCTTTCTTTCTTATCTGACCCCACTCTCTCTCCTGAAACCTTTTTCCTTGCCTCTCCTGTCCTCCTCCTTCTCTGGACTCTCATCTCAGCCTCCTTGCCTGGGTTCTTTCTCGTCACTCAGACCTCGAGCGTTGATGCTCCCCAGGGTCTGTGTGCAGCTGCCTGCCCTCCTCATTCTGTCCTCTCTCCCTAAGGAAGCATAGGCACTGCCAGACTACTTATCCTCGTTTTCCTATAACAACCAAATTACACTTCTAGCTCTGGCCTCTCTCCTAAGCTACAGCCCATTTATCCTAGTACAAGCTGGATATTTACACCTGGAGGTCTCACAGCACTGTCTAAACCAGTGGTTCTCAACCTTCCTAATGCCATGACCCTTTAATACAGTTCCTCATGTTATGGTGACCCCCAATTTCATTGTTACAAATTGAACATAATTAAAGCATAGTGATTAATCACAAAAACAATATGTAATTATATATGTGTTTTCCGATGGTCTTGGGCAACCCCTGTGAAAGGGTCATTTGACCCCCAAAGGGGTTGCGATCCACAGGTTGAGAACCACTGGTCTAAACTTAAACTCACTGTCTTCTTGAACTTACATGTCCTTCAGGATTCCCTGCTTAAACAGGTAAAACTGTCATGGCCATCCACCATCGCCATCTTCTGAGCGAGAGCCTCAGGAAACAGCCTAGTCTTCTTCCTCTAGTCATGTCTCAAGTCCAGCAGAGCTCATTTTCCTAGTTTTTCTCAAGTCCACCCACTTCTCTCCATAGCAGGTCATGTCAGATGCAGGCAGTGAAAGCATTGTCTCAATCTCTTTATCCATCCTCCTCCTAACTTTCCTCCTTTTTCATTCCCCTCTTGATCTGTTTACTCATTCAATCAGTCAGTCAGTCAACCAACAAACACAGGTTGAACATCTACAATATTCTAGGCCCTAGGGATACAGAAAGGAAAAAGACAATGCCCCCGAGGGAGCTCGGGATTGGTGAGAAAGGGCCACCCAGAAGTCCAGGTCATGAACTATGCACACAGGAGCTCAGGAGTCCTTCTGTCGGAACTGAGAGGATTTTTATATAATATTTCAAGCAAACAAAGAAGTATAGACACCAACATATCTTACATCTAAACACCCAGCTCTCTGGAATTCTGATATTTATCTTTCCCCTGTATACTAAAAATATATGTGTATCTGTTATAATAATCATGTTTTCAAACTTCATGTAAAATGTCCTTATGACATTTTTTCTCAACACTATGTTTTTGAGATATATTCGTTGTTTATATCAGGAGTATTTTCACTGCTTTGTAGTATTCCATTTACTTATTCTCCTGTTGATGGATATGTAGGCGATTTCCAGGTTTTCCAATATGAGCAATGTTATAATAAATTTTTATGCATGTCCCATAGGTGTCTCCTTGTGCACATGTAGGATTTCTCTAGAAGTCCATTGTAAAGTTGAAGGACATGCATATCTGACGTTCCTTAGACATTGCCAAATTGCTCTTCAAAGTGATTGTACCACCAGCAGCCCATCAGAGTTTCTGTTTATCTACTCTACATCCTCATAAATATTCAGTAGTATCTTTTTTTAATTATTGCCAACCCAATGGGTGTGAAATGGTATCTCATATAGCTTAAATTTTTATTTCTTTGATTATTAGTAAAGTTGCCCATTCAGTTTTCTTTTTGAGTAGCAAATACCTTCCCCTAGCCTGAGTCTTGTCTTCAAATGTATTTAAGATGTCTTTTTTGAACAGAAGTTGTTCTGTGAATGTCCCTCATTCCCTTTATGGTTGATTTTTGTGTCCTGTTTAAGAAATGATTACCTGCTCAAAGGTCATAAAGATTTCTCCGTATTTCATCTAAAAGTTTTAAAGGTTCCCTTTTTAGTTATTTATTTTGGAGGATGGAACTAAGAACCTAATTTAATGTTTTTCCACGTGGATAACAAATTTTCCAAGCATCGCTTATTTCTTAAAGTAATTTCTTTCCCCTGCTGATTTGAAATGCCAACTGTTGTATATCATTTCCATATGTGCGTGGGTCTCTTCCTGGGCTCTCTGTTCTGCACCATCACCCCACTCTCTAATTATCATTCCTTTGTAATATCACTAAGTCCTGTTATCTTGTAGGTTAAGTCTTCCTCCCATCCCACCTCCTTGTGTTCTTTTCTAAAATTATCTAGCTCTTGCTCTTCCATATGAATTTTAAGATCAGTTTGTCAAGTTCCAGAAAAAAAAAACTTTATAGGGATTTTAAAATTGAAATTTAATTGAATTTCTAGATTATTTGGAAGAAATTGGCATATTTAGGATATTGAGTCTTCTGATCCATGAACCTATGTCTCTTCACTTATTTTCAGGTCTTCTTTTGTATTCTTCCCACAATGTTGTACAATTTTCTCCATAAAAATCCTCCTATCTTCTGTTAGATTAATCACAAGGCATCTCATACTTTATTGTGCCATTATGAATGAGATGTTTGTTTTTCCTAT